TCTGAGGCTTTATAAGGCTCGTTAGACCACATTTTAGAATACTGTGAGCAATTTTGGGCCCCATATCGCAGGAAGGATATACTGACCTTGGAGCAGGTCCAGAGGAGGTTCACGAGAGTAATCCTAGAAACAAAAAGCTTAACGTATGAGGAATATTGGAGATCTTTGGTCTACACTCAACAGAGTTTAGAAGGATAACGGGGGATCTAATATAAACTTACAGAATACTGAATGTTTCCATGACAAGAGACTAGGACTCGAGGGCACATCCTTAGAGTAAAGGAAAGTCACTTTAGAACAGAAATGAGGAGAAACTTCTTCAGCCAGAGTGTTGAGTCTATCGAATTCACTGCCACAGAAAGCTATGGAGACCTGGTCATTGAGTATATTTAAGACATAGATAGATAGGTTCTTCATTGTCAGGAGGATCAAAGGTTACGTGGAGAAAGCAGGAAATTGGGGTTGAGAAATTTATCAGCCGTGACTGAATGGTAGAGCAGACATGATGGGCCAAATGGCCTAATTTCTGCTCCTATGTCTTATAGTCTTATGATTTGGTTTGGCTTATCTCTGTCTCGTGACACTTTGCAATTAACAAGCATTGAAGCATAAGAAATAGGCCACTTCACAACAGTATCCAACCTGCCCTGCTTGTGTCAGTGTTGATACGGCTGGTCTAGTTAAGCTGATTGTCAAAGTTGACCCCTTTATGTTGGCAGTAGCGAACTCAGCAAGTGAAGGGGTTAGATCTTTTCTTGCCAGTGATAATCACGATTTGAAACATGTGGATTAATTTAAGTGATTGTGAGGGACACCATCAGAGGTTCTGGGTCCTTGATGATCAGAAGTAGCATTTGTTTTATCTTCAGCAGGATATTAGCCACTTGAGGATTTTCCTATTATCTTCAATTTTGCTTAGTAACCTTGAAGCCTTACTTGCACAGATGACGACTTCATGTTGTAGGCTGAATCACCATATGGGATTTTCAGGCATTCTTGCTAAGACATTTAAAAAAAAAAGGGTACATCGGGTTCCACAAGGTCTCGGATAGTTTATAGCCTAACAGTGTGTGTGAGCTGTGATGACCCACGTTATGAAGAGATGTATTTTCCTGTGACAACATTTTCAGATTTAAGTGGACTAAGCAGTACTCTGAAAGATGGTTAAATGGTCTATTTCTATTGATTTCATGAGTCCAAGAAATGACAATGTGACCGGAGGTTATCGCTGAGAAGAATAATAAATTATATAAAAGAAATTAATTACAGTTGGGTTTGGGACAGGCAGTATTTTCCATTTGGTAATTCAGAACACAGTTTGAACAGAATAAACAAGGAAGGCTTTCTCTGAATGAAACAATTTTCTGTTGGCCAGTCTTTGATCAGATCCTGATGTTGAAGCAGATATCGGAGAAGACAGCAGAAATTGTATTAATGGTGAAGACAACAAAGGCAGAGGACCTTGGACTGGTCAAAAAACAATCACATAAGTTCTTGTGAATTTCTCTGAATATAGATCATATAAAATGTTTGAGTATGTCGCCACTGACGTGGAAGGAATGAACTATCAATAGCATCAGGGTCAAGAGTCAAAATAAACTCTACTGCAACTTATGTTAACTCTTACTCAGATAATTAAACAATACAAATGTTACCTTAATCACTGCAATGCTATAAAAAGGAAGGAACATGGCTTATTTTCATACCAAAACCAATTCTTTGTCACACATATGCATTTATTGTATTTTCTGCTACCAGGGTGAAATAAAAGGTAACTACTGCAGCAGCAGCAAAGATTATCTTTTACAGGAAGAGCTGTGCCATTTTCACCAAGCAGCTAGTCCTGATGGAGCAAAGAGCAGAGGCAGCAGAATCTTCTGAAGCACTGTTTTTTGTTTTAATATGCCTCCCATTGCTATACTGGTAAGAAGTAGCCAGTAGTGAGCAGCCAAAGCTTACAGAACACTGTAGCATCGCATTAACTTACCAGCCCCAAAGTTCAAAGTGGGAGCTCCAAAGTTGAACCCTAGTAGAAAAAAGAGGTGACTGTCACCAGCAACAATTTACGATTAAAATGTGGTTAGAACAAAAAAATGCATTTCCATACACCGCATTCACACTATTTCGGGTAGACTCACACAAGCCTCAACACCCTTTCAAAAGTTCACGTAGAGTGATTCAGCTTTCTACACTGCACCTGGATAACATGGGAACAAACGACCAGTGGAGAGCAATTTAAAAATGTACATAATCTGCAGTGATTCTGGAATGCTTTAGTAATTCTGACCGGAAACAATATGTAGATTTTATAAGAAACTTAGAGACTCTGAGATTGGCCTTAGCTGTGATGCCCTGATCATATACTGATTGCCAAAATGTCTCAACCCTGCCGAAAAGGCAACCTTACCCATGAATTCAGTCAGCACCTGGCTACATTGTTCTTTCAAAAGCCTCAAAATCTATGAGGCTATCTAATCACTTAAATCTGACCTTTGTCACTGCAACTCTGGAACCATTGTAGTTGAGTAAACTTTATATCTTAATTTTGTTATTTTCTCTGATTTTCTGGAGAAATCTGGCCCTCATGGTTCACGTGACAAACTAGAGGGAACAAGAGATGCAACTGTGAAACCTGCCACAGTGACAATAAAACCACCCAGTATCGTTAAATTCATTTCCACAACTGACTAGAATCTATCAAGCAGCCCATTCCATGTTAGAATCTGATCTGTATGATTCAAGATTCAACACAACTCTGGTCATATCAAATCAAACCACTAGTTCTGCTAATTTACACTATTGCAAAGTAATAATTACATAAATCAAGCACTGCCATTTTCAAAACCTCTAACAATCACTTCTTCTAAAAGTTACAAAAATTCTTTGACCAAATCAACGCCTTAAAAAACCTCAATTACATTTATATATTTTCCACTGGCCAAAGTCAGATTTTAAATTAGCCAATTCCAGTAACTTAAATGTAGATTTTCAATGTTATCCAATCTTTAAAACAACCAGTTCATGATGGTATTAACTGTTAACCATGCACCTTCTAGACTAACAACAACAAAATTAAAAGCAGTTTTGGAAGATATAAGGATTGCTTCCATTCAGTACATCTTAGTAGGCACCAACTCTACTCTTGACTGCAAGAATTTAAATAAAATCATTCAGAACCAAAGTGCAGAAGAAAGCAGCTCACGCCAATGCATTGATTACAATACTTTGAGTTTTTCAACTTGCGTTTCACATTCCCTATAACATCTCAAAATCTGAGGAGAAAGTAAAGAAAATCATGCAGGATTTCCGGTCCTCATTACTATGCCTCAGCGGACATTGCATGTGCACATTGAACAAGAATGCTCAGTTGTGATGCTGCCTGTACTTGAATATCTGCATAAGGCGTGCTAAGGTATCCAAGCAGCATATCTGTTGAATTTATCAATTGAGAACTGCAACAACTGACAATCAAACTGAATAATATTGAACAGCTTTACAAAACATTTGAGATCTCTTCCAAGACTAGTGCCATGGAACTCACACAAAGAACCACTATTAGGATAAGTACCTCAATGGGAGTCAGCATCTTCAAGGGGAAGAACAAAGATATTTGTTCCTCATAAATGTCAGGCAATGACCATTTTCAATAAAAGACAATCTGACTGTCCCTTGGCATTTTGTGGCTTTACCATCACTGAATCCCCCACTATCATCATCCTGGGAACTACCATTGAACAGAAACTCAACTGGACTCCCCAAAAAAAAAAGTGGCTACAACAGCAGATCAGAGGCTAGGAATACTGCAGCAAGTAACTCGTCACCTGACTTACCAAAACCTGTTCACTATCTATAAGGAACAAGTCAGGAGTGTGATGGAATACTCTCCGCTTGTCTGGATGGGTGCAGCTCCAACAACACAAGAGGCTTGACTCCATCCAGGACAAAACAACCTGCTTGATGGCACCACAATCGTAACCATCCACTCCATACACCAACACTCAGCAGCAGCAGTGTGTATTGTCTACAAGATGCACTGCAGAAATTGATTTAAGATTCCAAATCCACAACCACCTTCACCTAGATGGACAAGGGCAGTAGATACACCACAATTGCAAGTTTCCCTCAAAGCCACTCACCATCCTGATTTGGAAATATATAGCTAGTCCTTCATTGTTTCTGGGTTAAAAATTCTCAAATTCCCTCCCTAACAACACTAAGGGTCTACCTACAGTATGTGGACTGCAGCCTTTCAAGGCAGCAGCTCACCACCAATTTCTCAAGGATAACTAGGGACAGACAGCAATGACCAGTCAGCAACGTCTACGTCCCCCACGTGAGTGAATAAAAAAACATGGTTCCACCAAGATATCTTGCACTGAAAAAATGAAAAAGTAAAATAAATCACATCTATGAAACTCGAATATTAAATGGAAGCCAACATCAATCTGCAAATATGATCAATGTCCACGCTTTTTCTTTTCAGCAGACAGCTCTCAAGAGAACTAACCGAATTCCAAAGACACAATGTATCAAGAAAATTTCTTTCACAATCAGCTAATGATTAAGTTCTAAGTGGAAAGCACTGCATAAATCTTGTAAATGGATAAGAAACAGATTAATGGGGAAAAAAGTTAATTATTGCAGGAGTTACATAAAAATACAATCCTATGTAAATTATAGGTATAAAAATTTAAAGAAGTGGACAATTCTGTGAGACAGCTTGGCAAATACAAAATTAGACAACAGATGTCATGGGCTGAAAGAAATGACAGTTTACATTTGTCAACAAGTGCAGAGCATTGCATGGGGCAAGTGTGCAGTGTCAACTCCAACAGTGTCAAAACAGCCAAGGGTGAAGCTGAAGAATACCTCAGCCTGATGATACATCCAACCACTCAACAGCAGCATTGAAATAAAAGAAAATTCTGAACTATATAGCCAAAACAGCAGAGTACAATTTAGAGGAGGTCACGCTCATATCAGTTCTATTCAAATTCACATGAGGCTTTTAATTGTTGATAATAATTCACAGCAGATGCAGGTTACAGATCCCTTATGCCAAGATGTCAGAGTTATGCAACTGAGAGAATCTTGGGCTTTGCAAAGGACTGACGGAGAACCCAAAGAGTTTAGTAAAACGATTAAAAGATAGGTAACAGGTAGATCCTAAAAACTATTTCAAAATTAAGAATGTAAAATAAAGGCTGACTGAACCACACTTGAGAAGCAAAATACAGACTGACATGAATTCCTTTTTGATTCCTTTCTTCACAAGTAGTTGTGACAATACTATAGCTTTAAGAGGTGTATTTTGTCCTTTTACTTAAAAATGAAGTTTTAGACAGAGACACTGAGCAGTCTGCTTCAAAGTCAATAAAAGGCTTGAGGCCTTGGAATTTTTTTTTAAAAATGTTGAAACAATAGAAGCAGCCTGAATGGGTGGGGTCAAGCTCCCATAGAACCACGACATTTTTTAGTTTTAGCCTTTTAATAGCAGTTGCTGTGGTCTTGAAGCTGGATTTGGAAGTTCTTATTCCCCTCTCTGTTACAACTAAAAGCTGGGGGTTCTCTTCCTGCTGCTAGAATTGCACGCGAGACAATCTATTACCAAGGGTGTGTTTATGGGATGTCACTGTATTGGAACAGTTAATTAGTAGTAGTTGATATATTTAATTTTTGTTAAGCATTTCAATAGAGTTACAATTAAGCCAATTCTTTTATTTTTATTTTGTCTATATTTTAATCTTAGCGTAAAAATGAAGTGTTTTGCTTAATGTCAAGTAGTTTGACCAATTGACCTGCATCTGGAAAGCAACACCATACACTTACCTTTAAAATAAGAAAAAAAGTTAGGGTTGACTATCTTCTTAAAATATTTTGAGGGGTTTTGGTTTGGTCCACAACAGTGAAAAGCAGTAGGAGACGTTTTAAAAAAAGGAAGGAAACTGAAGGGTCTTGCACCTGGACAAATTAAAGTGCGTTAGAGCCTTCACTTGTCTTTTAAGTGAACTCCTAGTAAACATGCAGATCAATTACCACTATGGAAGTGCATTATCAAAATTTAAATAATCAGGTTAATTAGAAAGCACAACAGACTAATTTTGTTTTAACTGTTAAATTGTTCAAGCAGGATCATGTAAAAAGATGAGCATTTTGTTTGAATGGAGCACAACTGCTTTGCAAGGGCAATCCCTGCACACTTCTGCCTTGGTATTAAAGACAAATGGGAGCTGGTAGTACTGAACTCAATACAAGCGTCTGAAATGTGAACTCAAGTTTAATAAATAACAAAGATATACCCCCAGCTTTGTCACTTGTGTGCCATATAGATCACAAAACCTCGGGATACAATGCTACTCAGACAAGACCAAAACTGGGGCAAGATTAGAAACAGCTTAATTGAGCACAACATTCCTGCATTAAAAAGAGTGCTTTAGCAATATCTATTTTCAGTTGAGAGAAGCAGAGTAGGGGATACCTAGGCAACCACTGCTTGGGTTTTGTACCAGAAGGACTTGATGAGTTTAGCACAGTGAGAAGAAAACATTTTTTACTAAATTACTAATACCTTAAATTTGCTTTCTCACCGGGAACTAAAAAGTACATGAACAAGTGACTTCAGTGTTAACCAAATAGAAATCTACAGGCCCAAAACAACCTACGTTAAAATATCTTCGATTTAAAGCACATAAGGGCCTGCTGCACTTAATAACATATTTAAAAGTTTTACTTGCACTGAATAGAGTGGTTCAATAATGGTGGGCTCGAACTGCTTACCCTGAAGCTGATGTCTCAATGAGTCCCTGTTTTACATGTTCAAAGTTACTGGCTTAAGACGACAACAGAATTGTCCAAAACATAGTGTCTTCTCAGAGACCGCTCGTTTCAATAAAACACCAGATTTCTGAAAACCTAAATTCTAGTAGGTCCAGAAATGTTCCTTCCAAGCACAGAAGTCCCAACAGAATACATTAAATAACTGAATAAAATTGTGTTTATCCAGGTATTAAACAATATTGAGGATTTGTCAACCAGTATCTTTGTAAGCAAATGATCAGGAGATTGCCAGATTTGAGTCACAAGGTGCAAATGGGACTTGGTATCGGTCAGGTTATGGGTTTCAATGTAAGTTTAGTCATTATGGTGGTAAACAAGGAGTAATGAGCCTGATTTAAACTTTAAATTTAAGTTCATTTCAGAAGCTGGATTCTTCATTCCAATTCATCTGCATTTGTAATTAAAATCAAGGTCAAACAGAATGTTAACACAAATTGAGATTCAATCCACTTAATCAGATGAATACAAAAAGATCCTATGGCAATTCTTGAAGAGGAGCATGGAATTTTCCTGACATCCTGGCCAACATCCCTTTCATGAGCAATACCAGATAAAAATCAAATCAAAGTAATCTCAGACAACAAGGTGCAGGGCTGGATGAACACAGCAGGCCAAGCAGCATCATAGGAGCAGAGAGGCTGACGTTTCGGGCCTAGACCCTTCATCAGAAAAGGGTCTAGGC